GTGTATGGGCTTCGACAGGCCACGAGGGAGTGGCATGCTAAACTTGCCGCCAACCTTGCTGAACCTGGGTTCCGCACCTCCCGCTCTGACGCCAGCCTCTTCCTCTGCACCTGCCCCTCCCCGTTCTACATCCTTGTGTATGTCGATGACATGATTCTGCTCACTGTCGACCTTGGCGAATTGGAGCGTGTTAAGGCTGAGTTGGGCAGCCGACTCAAGTGCAAGGACTTGGGCGAGCTGCAGCATTACCTGGGCATGACCATCACCCGCGACCGCTCCGCCCGCACCATCTCTCTCTCCCAGGGTCTTTACTTGCAACAGGTCTTGGAGCGGTTTGACATGGTCCGCGGTGGCGCCCAACCTATTCGTCTTTCTGTCAGGCACCACCTTTCTCTTCCCACCTCCCCCTCAGCCTCCTCCCATCCTTATCCCGAGCTCATCGGCTCCCTCATGTACGCCATGGTCTCCACTCACCCTGACCTTGCCTACCCCATCAGCGTCCTCGCTCGTTTTGTTGGCGCAGGCAAGAATACGGAAGAGCACTGGCAGGCCGCCAAGCGTGTCCTCCGGTACCTTCGTGGCACCAAGGACTACGTCCTTACCCTTGGCGGCCCCTCCCCACATCTCCTCACCTGACTACCTTTTCCTCCAAACCCCCTCAGGTCGTCTATTCCGCAGTAGGGATGTGGTCTTTGATGAGTCCACTCCCTACTACTCCTCTTCCCCATCCACTGACCCACTCCCTCGTCTTCCCCGTCCCCTTATCTGGTCTGACACCACCCCTCCCCCACTACTTCCTCCTCCCCCCATCCTCCCTCCCCATCCCACGGTGCCCCTCCCTCGTCTGGTGATATATTTGACCCGGAACCTCTGTCCTCTCCCGTCTCCCCCACACATTCCTCTCCTAGTGCCCCTCCCGCCCCTCCTTCACCTCCCTCGCTGCTGACTCGTCCTTCCCCCCCTCCCCGCACCGTACTTACCTGGTACCCCCATACCAGGTCACGTGACAGTATCCTTGGTGCACCGCCCTCTGTTACCCTCTCTACCTCTACCCTGCCCCCACTCTCCCCTCTCCTTCACCCGTTCTTCCAGGCTGTTCTGCATCAACCTCCTCCTGCAGCAGCCCCCTCTGCCACCTCTCCAGCAGCGGCGCCAGAAGCAGCGTGCGCAACGGCACCCGCAGCGGCACCAGCAGCAGGACCAGCAGCGGCACCTGCAGCAGGACCAGCAGCGGCACCAGCAGCGGGACCAGCAGCGGCACCAGCAGCGGCACTAGCAGCGGCACCAGCAACGGCACCAGCAGCGGCACCAGCAGCGGCACCAGCAGCAGCACCAGCAGCGGCACGTGCAGCGGCACCAGCGGCACCAACGGTCATCCGCTCCTTCCACACCTCCCTCTCTAAGGACTCACATGAGGAGTTCCTTGACCTCCATCTCTGTGACCCTTCCCTTCTACCATTCACCTCACCAAAGATGCTGTGTTTCACAGGCGCTCCAAGCACATTGAGCTCCGTCATTTCTTCATTCGCGATCTTGTTCAGGCGGGGCACCTTCGCCTCGACAAGGTTGACTCGGCGGCCAACCTTGCCGACATCTTCACAAAAGCTCTTCCTCATGCCGCTCACTCTTCCCTACTTCGTCTTCTTGGCCTCACTCCTCCTAAGTTGCCTCCCGCCTCTTGATTCTAGCCTTCTAGACTTATGCATGTTGGGGGGTTGTGTTGTAATTTCATATTTCATACAACATACATAGGCTAGAAGTAGATCAATAGCACACTTATAAATTGGGGGGCTGTTAAGTGTACCCTCCAACCACACACACATTTGTGGTTGGTTGGGATTGGTCCTTAGCTCAACCAATCCCAACCAACACACATTTGTGGTTGCTTGGGTCACAAGCAAGCTCACCCATTGGCCAACTTATTGGCCAATAGGGTAAGCTTCCCTCTCATCTCTCTCTTGCTCATTGTTTGTACTAAAGAGCCTCTTGGCTCATTATTCAATGTATCAATTCTCTCTCTTCTAACAGAGTTCATACGCTGCGTAATTTTCTAATATTCGCCAATTTTAGCTCGGGCTGACCAGAAAAAGAAGTTGAGTTCGTGATCCGGCGAACTCAAATTTGAGTCTCAAAAGTCAGATCTGAGTTCGCGCACAGCAAATGCAACCTCAGATCTGAATTTCGAGATTGTTTGGTGGATCATCCCCTCCTATCCACTGCTCAACAATCCACTCCAACCCCATCAAATACCAATCCTTTCCAATTTGTTGCCAAATTTAACCAGACTCATCCTCCTCATTCAATGTGAAGTCGTTTTTCCCAACCCTAACTTCTGCATTCGATTTTTTCCTCCCCTTTTTATTTCACTTGCGACGATGACCTACTACAGCAGCATTCAGGTAGTGGACTGCTACAGCAGCTCCCGTTTCCATCTCTTGACCTAGCATCTCCAACCTGTCCGGAAAAAAAAAAAAAACACCTGCCCGGGCAAGCGGATTCTTGTGCGTACCAGACCCCTCTCGGCCAGCGTACTGCGTATAAATGCTAGCATTTATACAAAAGCGTACTAAACACGAAACGCGTTATTTCCAACGTAGGTTCGGTTCAACACACACACATGTTTGAATGCATTCGCGTCAAACATGTTCAAATTCGATTGTTACTCATGACTACTCGAGTTAGGTCAGGACTGTGGGAAAGTTGCCAGATTTGGTGTGGTTGTAACACGAAGGGGGGGGGGTCATGCAATGCAAACCCGATGGTGACCCAGTGCGACCAGACCATATGTCTGGCTATATGCCCATACATATGTCGAATATCAAAATGAAAGACAGCAGATGCAAACTGACGAAGAATCCATGGAGGACGAAGAAAAGCTCGGGCGAAGGGGAGAAAGAATTATGAGGGGGAGAGAGCAAGGTTAATGACTTCAACGAGTTTTCAACTCCACGAATAGAGTTCTCTCTAAGTGTCACCACTCATTGTGCGTGCCTAGCCCTAGCCTTAAAGGAGGTGCTCTATACAAATAAGCGAGCTGAGGAAGCATCAGTATGCCACCGTGAATGGAGCTTGTCAACATGTTGTTTGATAGAGACCTGTGTGGGCGTGGTATGGGTTTGGGCGGAATAAGTGTTGAGATCAGAAAAGAGGGCATGTCACGCGGAGGAGTTTTGCGGTATTCAGCCTGGCTTGGCTGCCAATGGCGTGGCCATAAACGTTATGATTACCAAAAATTCCTTGTTTTCTAGCTTGCTTTTGGCAGCATCTAAGTTTATGCGACCTTTGATCATGCAACAACAGGCTAAAGAGGTGTTTCGCACAGATAAGTGAGCCGGGTAAGCTCCGCGAGGGTACCGGCAATTGATCCGGTCAAAGAGTTGTATGAAAGAGACCTGTGTGTGCGTGGTACAGTTTTGGGTGGATTGGATTATGTGAGAACAAGAGAATAGACTGCATAACTGGGGGACAGCAAGCGCACAAGGTGGACCTAATGGGGGATGAGACGAGCATGTGTGGTGTGATGCCGTTACGTGCATCAAATGTGCATATTACCGAGCCTAACCGTTTCGAAAACGAACCAATTTCTGGCCGCCCAGTTCGGGGTTCGTTAATTCATATACCGATCCGAACGGGTTTAGTTTTGCACATGAATTTTGCCTGGACGCATGTCCTCCGGCTGGAATTTCCAAAGTTTTTGTTTCCAACAAAGCCCAGATCTACTCACAAAAACAAAATTATCAAGCCCTAACTGGAGCCAGTCAATATATAATATAGAATCGCCCAATTTCTAGCAATGTTCATGGAAACCACTGTAATAAGGTCACCTATGAACTCGTGACGGTTACGACAGGAAACCCTACCGAATACTTCAATCCGATATTTAGGGTAGACCAATCCTAAGTTGGAATATACGCTACTTTCATTTTGCGTTTTGCGTTAATGCTCTTATCGAATTCGTACGCTGCGTATAATTTGAAAATTCGCCGAGTTGAATTTCGGGCAGACCGAAAAAAAAAAAACCAAATTTCAATCTGAAGCTCGTGATGTGGCGATCTCGTTTCCGAGTCTCAAATGTCGCGAAACGATCTCAAATTTTGAATTTCGAGCTCCACACCTCATCAGCCCCTCCCCTCCACCGTTTCACACCCCTTTTAACCACAACATTCCACCATCCCCTCCAACTGCTACTTTACTGGTTGGGAGCTCAACCCAACCCAATCTCCCAGGCATAAAGAGAGGCATTTGTTCACTCGATATTCATTCTCTCGCTTCTTAGTCTAGCTACCTCCCCTCCCAAGCCATCATGGCTTCTACTCCTACAGCAACAACTTCTTGTTCGCCACCCTCAGAGGCTCCTGGTAGTTCTGCTGGAGGGACCTCATCTGTTACGGCTTTGGTCTGCATGGGCAGCAAGCACGCAGTCTACTGCCACTTCAAGGTGCCGGCCGAAAGCGTGGGGGAGAACGGCACCAAGGTGTGTGCCTACTGCAACTTCAAGTTTGTTGGTGGGACGTACCGCTGCGCGCAGCATATCACCAGCTGGCAGGGCATGCGCCGTCGTGAAGTGCATCTCTGCACTGAAGCGCCGAAGACTGCACGGGACGCCGTGAAGGCGGTTTACGAGAACAAGTTCAAGGCCCGTGAAGCGAAGCGTGCGGCTGAAATTGCGGCGGTCGGCGCAGTCAATGGCGGTGGTTCCGACAAGAAGAAGACGCGATTGACCGACTTCTACGGCGACAACGCCGCGTGCGCGAAGCAAGCTACAGGACGAGGCGCTTTGCCTGCTCTTCGCCGCTCTTCATATCCCGGAGCATCACGCGGACCACCCACTCTGGCGGAATGCAGTCTCCTGCATAGCGCGCGCAGGGACGGGTTACGTGCCGCCGAAGAGACGCTACATCGGTGGAGCTGGTCTTGCAAAGTGTCGCCAGCGCATTGAGGCGGCACTCGGTCCGATCGCTGAAAGCTAGCGCCGTGACGGCGTCACCGTTGCAAGCGACATGTTCTCTGACAAGGCCGGCCGCCCGCAATCCAATGTGCTCCTCATCAACGATAGCGGAGCCGTGTTCGTGGAGTCGATCAACACCAAGATGGAGATGAAGACCGGCGGCTACATCGCGAGCATCTTGCGCCCCGTCATCGAGAAGGTTGGCCCCGAGAATGTCGTCGCCTTGTGTTTTGACGGCGGCTCCAATTACGCGGCGGCTTGCAGGGAGTTGATGACGGAGTATCCCCACATCGAACACATCCCATGCGTGACCCATGTCCTTGATCTCTTGATGGAGGACATTGGAAAAATGGGATGGGCGAAGGAAGTCGTCACGCGTGGGGACAACCTCATCTCCTTCGTCCGCAACCATCACTTTACCCGCGGATACATGCGGAGCAAGCTCATGAACAGCGGCAAGGGGAAGCAGGCTGGACAACGACTGCAAAGAGGGTAGGGGCAGATACCTTCAAAGTCAACATCCTCGATGACACGTGGTGGACGCGCGCCGAGTTCTTCGCGAAACTGATGAATCTGCCGTTCGTCATCATGCGCAAGACGGACTCGGACGCGAAGGGCATGATGGGTCGTCTCTACGACCTCATGCTCCAGCTCACCGAGGACATCCGCGACTTCCTCGGCGAGCATGCGGAAGGGGTCCTGACAAGCGGAGAGGTGGGGGATATTCGGGAAATCGTGCAGGACCGCTGGGACAACGGGCTGGCATGCGACATGCACGTGGTTGGCCGCATCCTCAACCCGACCAACCAGGAAGAGGGCATCTTCGGCCATGACCTCGAGTGCACGAAAGTCTTCAAGAAGTTCGTGTCCAAGCACTTCGACGACCAGACCATCACCAGGAAGGACGGGGTCGAGCGCCGCGCCTCCCTCGTCATCCAGGAAGGCCTCACTGCCTTCCTAAACCTGACGGGCTGCTTCGGCATGCCCGACGCTATTGCCGATCGTATGGCAGTGAAGGAGGGCAAGATGACCGCGGTGGCATGGTGGTCGTGGCACGGGACCGAACATCCCGAGCTCACCACGCTTGCTTGCCGCATGCTCACGCAGCCGGTGTCCGCGTCTCCATGCGAGCGGAACTGGGCGAAGTTTGATGCCGTGCATACGGCACGCCGGAACCGTCTCGGCGCGGAGAAGCTTCGGGACCTTGTGTACGTGACGCACAATTGGCAAGTTGTGCACAATTGGCACAAGGTCCCTGAAGGGCAAGGGGTGGTGAAGGGAAACATCGAGGAGCCCCCCACTCTGGCTGGCTACAACGTCGAGGAGGAGGTGGAGGAACCTGAGGAAGGGGAGGATGATGTGATGGACGTTGAGTACTAGTGGATGGAAGGCTCCATGCATGAGCGGCTAGCAGGGGATGAAGGGTGGATCTGTGTAGAGTAGGGGGAGGGGTGGTAGTAGCATGATTAAGGTGGGTGGGGGAAGTTGTAGTGGGAAATTAGTTTCAAGGGTCTTTTTTCCTGTAACTTTCATATTAATAAAAAGGGGATGGGGGTTACAACAACCCCCATCCCCATCTCTTACCCCAAAAATCTGCCCGGGGAAAACTTTTTCCCTGCCCGGGCAAGCGTATTCTTATGCGTACCAGGCCCCCCATGGCCCGCGTTTTGTGTTTATACTCTAGCGTTTGTACAAAATCGTACAAAACGCAAAACGCGTTTTTTCCAACTTAGGACCAATCTCATCTCCGATTTAGGTGTTAGGCTAGGTAGGGTTTCCCGCCCTCCAAATGCAATCTGCATCCCATCCTTAGACCGATGGGCAGACATGACTGCCTCCCACCCTATGATCCTATGTTCCATGCATAGGCAGACATGGGTGTGGAATCCACCAATCAGATTGACAGACAGAGGAAATAGTGGTCTTCTGAGTCGGAGGAGCGAAGTTAGTTCAGCCCCCTAATTTAGGCCAACGAGAGCAAGGCAAGGAGACAATGGTGGTGCTCTGGGTAGAAGGGCCGAACTCAATTCAACCCTCTGATTCAGCCGTCGGAGCACTTCAAGAAATCAGTTTGACCTTAAATATTTTGATAAATCAGAGTGAGCCTCGCTTGCTCACGGAGCGAGCTCACAGCTGTTGCGCCACCACTTTTTGAAGTTTTTGAAGGTTGCTGCTCAGGCGAAGTGTTTCGTCACCAGACCGCGCCACCTAAAGGTTGACGTGGCTGTTACCAGCTACAGAAACGAGCTCGTGTTTCAACTCTTGAGCTGGTTGACTGATCGAGAGTCGTGAGTGTAACCACTCACCCTTGTGACACATGTGATGTGACGCCACATACTGATGGGGCGTTCATGCGAGTAATAGCCACGTGGCAAACCACCCTTTTTCAGCAACGTGATTTTTTTAACGGCTCGTTCTTTCAAGAATCAGCTTACGTGATTGGGCATACTCAGCTCGCCAATCAAGCAACAGGTTTATATTTGAACTGCTTTAGACGGGCTAATCTGTATTGTTTAGAATTAAGACATAAAATAAGAAAGAGGCAAACGTGAAAGTGATCGCACTGCGATAGATAGGAACAACTTGCCAGTTTAGAACAGCTAGCACTAGGGAATATCAGAATTTATACAAAGCTGCATGTCACGAAAAAAACAAAAAACAAAAAAACAAAACAAAACAAAAGAAAACCCTATTCACAAGTCTGACTACTCCGAAAAAATGAGGACCACTACTGCAACCCTATTGCTAATTCGACTCTCTTACTACGTACTCGAACTCTTGGATAGGGGTTGAGCTTGATCAGGCACCCAAGGATCTTTAGAGGTGACCCCGAGGAGAAGCTTGGGGCATCAACAAGGCTATTTGTAGCTAGGCTAATGCGCATCAGGAGTAACAGCAGACACAGGTACAGATGAAAGAAATCTGAACCTGGAATAGTCAGCCTTGTTCGGCTGGTAATTCTGTAGCCACATACGTTCTGATTGCCTGAAACTCCTTGTCTTCTTGCTTGAGTGTGGCATCTAGGTTGTGCGGCCAAGACAATTCTTTCGTGAGTTTCTAAGGTCATGTGAATATTTACCATGCATGCTTAGGACGCGTCACAATTGAAATTCCGAGGAAGGATTGGGGGTGTTCACCGTTCTGCCAAATCGTTGGCCACATCGGTGTGCCACGACTGTATATTTGCTTGCAATCGAGGGCCCACCCCAAGTCTAAAGAGACACAAGTGGAAATTCATGGGACAACATTGTCCGATGCGGACATAATTGCACACATCGATTGCCTGACTACGAGGGGAAAAGATCGTTGTCACCAAGCTACTGTACATTCCCGAATGTTGACGAAAACAGAAAACCACCAACAAGCGACGTCGCAAAAGTACTGTAGCGGTGGCACACCGATCCTGCGCAGGATCGATATTCAATTTGCGACGTGTCCTTAGCGCCAGGCTCAAACAAAGAGCTTCATACATATAAGTGAGTTGATTAAGAGTGAAAATGTTAGTGGTAATGTATCCTGTCAAAGCGTTGCTCGAAAGAGATCTGTGTGTGCGTGGTATGGGGTTGGGGAGGAATAAGTGGGGACATGAGATTTGTGGGTGTGGGAATGGATGGACCGAACAACAGCAAGTACACTCGGTCGACCCAATTGAGGGACGAGACGAGAATAGTAGGAGGCAGTCATGAGTAGAAAGAAGAACCGCAGTTTAGTTCGAGGCAAGCAGTTCGACGAATGGCACACCTAGTTGGAAGAATTTGTGGTGTTGTTGAATTAGGGCGGGAAGGGGGATAGGCAGGAAGAGGAGCTGCGGTCGAATCAGCCAATTGCTTGGCCAAATATGTTTTGACTACCCGAAATCCTTGCCTTCTTCCTTGCATGCGGCATCTAGGTTATGTAACTAAGGATGTTAGGTTTTATGATTCAATTCAAATATTTAGAATGCTATTCTACTCCATTAACGAACTTATGATGATCGCCTTGATCTCGCATGTGTAGCACCGGGCAGAAACGAGGTGCTTCATACAGATAACAGAGTTGAGAAAGCTTGGTGACGCTGTTGGGAATGGAGCCCGTCAGTCTGTTGTTTGCAAGATCCCTATGTATGCATGGTATGGGTTGGGGCGGAATAAGTGATGAAACGAGGACGCGTGCAAGTCGGCATGAGCAGGGGGCGAACACGAACATGTTCATGTTCGCCAGGGGCGAACATGTCACCTGGGCGTAGGGATGAGCAATATAACGAACTCCTGTTCGATTATTTTTTGGCCTAAACTGTTCGGTGCGCCCGGTTCAGCTGGCCGAGGCGCGTCCAACACGAACGTGTTCGTGTACGACACGGGCCTTCGACAAACACCAATGTGTTCGTCGACGGATAGGCCCGCGACTAATATTTAGATCGCGGGCCTTGGTGTATGGGCTCAGATTTGGAATTTTGCCGTTCCTTAAGTGCAGATCGATCATTTCGCCGTTGCTTAAGTGCAGATCGAGCATTTCACCGCTGCTTAAGTGCAGATCTAACATTTCGCCGTTACTTAAGTGCAGGTCGAGCATTTCGCCGTTGCTTAAGTGCAGATCGAGCATTTCGCTGTTGCTTAAGTGCAGATCTAGCATTTCGCCGTTGCTTAAGTGCAGATCGAGCATTTCGCCGTCGCTTAAGAGCAGATCTAGCATTTCGCCTGTGCTTAAGTGCAGATCTAGCATTTCGCCGTTGCGTAAGAGCAGATCGAGCATTTGGCCGTTGCTTAAGTGCAGGTCTAGCATTTCACCGTCATACGCTAGCACTAGCATGGATGAAGCAGGGCGGGACTGGCTTGGGGGGTGGGGGGAAGGAATGTGCAACGATTTGAATTTTACTCTATTTGGACCTTACAGCCACCTAACAAATGTCAACAATGCACAATCCACAAACGTGTGACTTTAGTGAATGCAGTCCTGGGGCGAACACGAACCTGTTTGGGACGCTTCGCGACCCTCGGAACCTCCGCGTAACACCTGGTTACTGGGCCTTGTGTCGAGCCTATATATAGCTTCGTGTTGTACCCAAGTGAGCATTCGATTCAAACTTTCTTTTCTAAGCTCGATCCTAGATCCTCACGTTTGGTAATTAGAGCAGTTTTCACGCGAAGTTTTTTCGACCACTAAAACCGAGTCTTCAGAAAAAACCGCGGGGGCGACGACTGTTAAACACCGATTTCGAATACGTAAAACCGGTTCCGTGTTTTTCACTCCCCCTCGATTTCGGTTTTTCGAACGCGCAATGTCAGGCATGGACGGTCAAGGCGACAACTACGCGACGACGAGCAGCATCGCCAGCCTTTGCACCGACGTGGAGCAGACGCAGACGGCGATCAGACAAATCGAAGCCCTCCTGACAAACCAATCCGCAGCCGCCACCGCAACAGTCAATGCAGCTGCGAACGTAGCAGCGACGGCAGCAGCAGCGGCAGCGACACCGACATTTCACGGACCGATGGCACTACCTTCGCCGAACCTCAAAGTAGCTCGCCCGAGGCTCCCTGAAGCATTCAATCCCAGCGCGAAAGGATCTGACGTTCGACGATTTGTGGCGACCCTCAAAAATTATTTCGAGGTCATTGGCTGTTCGACCTCGACACATGATGAAGCACGGATTCGGCTCGCAGCGACACTGTTGAGGGGACCAGCACTCGAGTGGATTTATTATACTAACGTGGCACGCGTGGAGAAAACGTGGATGCAGTTACGGGAGGATCTCATCGAACTCTTCGAACCAATCAATTCAGTGTACATGGCGCGGCAGCAGATTCACCGACACAAGCAACTCGCGAGTGTGGCACTGTACACGCAGCAGATGGAGCAACTGTTCAATCGAATCACCGACCTGACCGAGGGCAGGAAAATCCTGGCGTACACCGCAGGATTAATAATGGAGATTCGTCGGCAAGTGATCACAGCGAACTACGGTAGCTACCGCGACATCATACGGGGAGCAGAAAGGTACGACGCGTTGACGAGGGGTCAACCCGAAACATGACGCTACGGGCCAAACCGTACATTTGGCCCGAGCGATCGGCACCCCCCACGTTCGCCGAACCGATGGAGATCGACAAATTTGACGAGAAGCAGCAACCGACAAAATGCGAATTTTGCGGCGCAGCGGGGCATCAAACTTTGTCGTGCTACAAAATGAAAAAGGCACGTGCGGCAATGCTGGGCGGTAACAGTGGAGCACCCCCGAAGTAAAAAGACGGGAATGGCCAGTAGCCGCGGATCGACCTGGCGATCGCGTAAAAACCCGAAAAGCGAAAAAGGGCGACGATGTGGCGATTTCGGAGCGGGTGAAAAAAGGAGAAAACGATGGCGCGAATATAAACGTCACGACCGACCGGCACCAGGGGAAA